CTACAATCCAAAGTATAAGGCCATCACTAATCTCCATTTTATGCAATTTTGGTTACATTATTTCTATACCTCATAATTAATTAGTAATAACAACATCTTATTGGCCAATTCCTTTCGGTATCTTAAAGGGGTGTGGTATTTTTTACTACTTCCTGCGCTTGCCAAATTTACGCATACACTATGAAATAGTACTACCCAAAATTGACTACCGCACCCCTGCCTATGTGAACTATGTATGCAAACTGCATAATTTTACCCTCACAGTTCTAAATGGCTAATTGCTGTTTAAAATATTTATGAGTTGTAGTAAAACAAATACAACATGATTTCCTCTACTATCCTCTTCGTTGGATGACTGGTACTACCTCCCTACGCTTCTCGTTGGAAGGTGGTCCTGATCATACAACACCTCTAGAAGTAGAATTCACTACTTCACCGCAACCTATGTTGTATTTGTATACCTCTGGCTAATTCTACTTCAGGCACTACAGTGTCATCATACAAAATATAGCCATAAAAATACAAAGCGAATTTGTTATTCTCTGAGTAAATCTGATGTATTTGAGTGTTTGAGCAAAGTATGAATGCATGTGTGATATATGGTTAATAGATAGAATGTTAATGTATTTTAATAATATAATGATCCTTTATTTTTAAGTGATTTTTTTTATCATTATCACAGATGTTTATTTTAATTTCATAGATGTACTTATATGTGAAGCCCTGTTGGAATACCAACTAGCTACCAATTACATTGATACTTCTGAGGTGTCTACTGGTGAAGAACATCTGAAGAAAGTGACAACAATGCTGAGTGATTTGAAGCTGAACCACAAATGTGTGTCAATACTTATTAACACACTAAATCAGGTAGGTACACTAGGGCTATGATAAGGCTATAATAAATTAATTATAAGTGTTGTTGATGCTTAACATGGATAACCAACTTTAAAATATATATCTGTATTTTTGTCAGCAGAATAGGAAGAGCTCTATAATTTTCTTTATTCTTGAGTAATTTTTTCAGGTTTTCAAAGGACTTTAAGTGTTTAGTAGTTTTTTTTTACTATATTCTAACAAGTTTTATATTGTTCTTACTATTGAAGCATCAAGGATACCTTCTGTTTTATTATATCATTTTTAAAAGGATTTTAAGTGTTTAGTAATTTTTAATTATATTCTAACATATTTTATATTGTTCGTATTATTGAAGCAGGGGTCCCAAGTTGGAAGAATCCTTCCTAGATATCTGGTTAAATGAACTTTTTTAACATAATTTGAATTTGCTACACATTCTGATATCCATTAGCACCAACTTCTGTGAGACAGTTGATAATAAAATAGTAAAAACATGAAAATATTATGAATTTGCGGGATATGGATTATTTCCGGGAGATTTTTGCTTGCTTGCCTGAGAGTGGGGAGTCGTCCTGATTTCGGGAGACTTCTGCAATTTCCGGGAGAATTGGGAGTCCTATTGGAGTATCAAAGGTACATTCCATTTCATTATATCATTTTTAACAATTGTTATTATTCTCATTGTTTAGAAGGCAATTCTTTGGAGTTCAAGGAACGATGATCAAAAAGCTCTGGACATTTTACTGGTAAATATATAATTTCTGTTTATCAACTTGTCTTAAATGTCTATCTATTCAGTAAGCCCCATTATGCAATGTCATGTTTAATATATTTCATTTACATCCTACACAAAATGGCATGTAAATTAAAAGATATATTGTGTTAGCAGATGTTTGCCTTTGCATCACTGAGTCCTAGCTTAAATTTTACTAAAATTCAAATATCTTGGTAAAGTTATAAAAAAAATCCACTCCTTAAGCCTCATATTAAGACTTAATTAAGTCATCTAAAGCATCAGTTTTCACCCTTGAACAGAGAAATAACTTGTTGAGTTTAATAAGAACGAAATAAATATGAACTGAAAAAGCATTTCGCTACCTAATCATGACAGCTGTAGCTTAATGATAAATGATGTTTATTTTTATTTAAAAATCAAACTTGATGGATTCTTTCAGGAAGCTCAGGAATTGTATAATAAATACAAACATGAAGTTGATAGAGCCCCAGTCTACATACATGAGTAAGTAGACTTAAGGAAAATTGAAACTTCTTTCCTTCATAAACCATTAGGACGTGCACTAAGTACAAAAAAAAATTGACAAGGGTATTTTATTCTATATTTCACTTTTATTTAAGTGTCATCAGGATTAATACATAATACATACAAAGAGACAAACTATACAAGTTACCAGAAATCCTCATTAATATATGTTTATTTAAATGAGGCAATTACCCGATCAGAGCGAAGTAGGTGTCATGACGAGAAAGTATATTGAGAATAAACAGTTCAGAGACAAAAATGTAGATTAGTGCATGAAGGAATTAGTTTAGAAGAGCTATTTATCAGTGTGAGAAACA